GGGGGCCTGCTATGCCAGCACGGCTCCCTCTTTTTACGTCTCGATTCGTTGTGCCGTCGCAGCAACGAAGCCGCCGCTATAGCTGCTTCTGCTGGTGTCATTGCGCATGGTTCGCGCCAGGGTTTGGCTTTCTCCCGTGGGGAACAGGTGTGCGAGGGGGAGGGGGGTGTACTCATAGTCGTGCATGCCGTAGAGGTTGACCTCGCATCCCTACAAAGCCGGGACGGAGCACGCCGGGTTCTCACCGGACCAGGCTCTCACATCACCAAGCGCGAAGCGCCGTGAGATATTCGGCGAGTCGCATGAAGGGTGCGCTGCATCCTGCTAAGGGTGTTCGGCATCTTGTGCTTACTTCCTTGCGTACGGATGACAGCTGCGTATGACTTAATTTATTTTCTGGTGCTTTCACTTCCAGAGACACTTGTAAGCACTGCGTAACTGCCTCGAGGGTGCTTGACCATGTTAACACAACGTGGTGCGATCATCCCCCTTGCGCGGAGTGAGGGTTCTCGACCCCGCACAACATGATCTACTCGACCACCATTATGGTCACCGCCAAAAAAAACAGAGGTAAAAAAAAAAATTGTTGCCGAGTTCACGAAGTGACTTGGCTTGTTTTACAACGTCGTTGCCAAGCGACGAAAACCCAACCCCGATGAGGGGGAGGGGGGCGCCAAAACCACCAAGTATATTCCAACGCAATGTACAAAGGTCAAGTACACATACCACCAACGTCCGCCGTGTATCATTATAGATGCCATGCCGAAAGAGAACGGAATCAATAAACATGTGACATCGCTCGTGCAGCATCAGTGGCGTGACATTGTCCCCCTTGGCATGTTCGACGGTAAACATTGTTGTTTTTCAGGTCTCGATCTTGACGGACGGCCGTGGTTGTCTGTTTTGTTGTTTGCGTGTGTTGCTCCCTTTGATACGGCTAAACATTTTGAAACTTTGTGGCCATTTCTGTGGTTCGCCGCTGTTCCTACAATGCCGATGATTGGATGACCACTGCGCGAGCAGTTTGCAAGCGCATCGGCGGGGATCTTTTCAAAGGGCACTGAGAGCGGAAAAAACGGTCGGAACATCCGTCTACAGCAGTAGACCAGTAGACGAGCACTGCTTTCCCAACGTTACAGGAGTGGTACATATACCACTTTGGTCATTTTACCCAGCGGAGAACTATGATTTTACGACGTGCAAGTAACCTTGCGGAACGGAACACAATGAAAGTAATGCCGCTTGGCCATATCACCTTGCAGCCTTGATAAGGCAAGACTTCATGGGGCCGAATCTGGTCAGGAACAGCGCCAGGTGCTTCGGTGCCACACGCTCTCCCGCAGCCGCCCGCGCCGGGCTCCCCCTGTCGAAGGCGTACCTCAGGACCATCTCCGCCTCCGCCCTGGTGGCCCTGGGTAGCTGCGACATCTCCGCCGCGTAATGTCTCCGCAAGTAGGTCTAATGGTATTGGCAGAGAAAGAACGAGAGAGAATCAGCATCGGCCGTCGGCGGCGTCATCAGCCCGACGTTTGTTACGGGCAGGCAGGGCGCGCCTGTCTGTGGTCAGATTCCCCGCTCCGTTGAAGCGTAAATGTGTTGTGGTGCATGTCGACGTGGCCGCCACGGCTGCAGCAGGAGCACCCCCATTCTCTCTCGCGACTTTTTTGGAGACAGGGAGCGTAAGTCGGCAATTGCTTGCCGCGTTCTCTTGGCTGTGTAGCGGCGGGAATGCGGCACAACTACGTGCGTGAATATGTTTCCTCCGTTGCGGTGGCAAACTGGTCGTAGCTGATCTTTAGATGCAGACTCTCCGGCTGTTCTTCGAGCTATCCAACAAAACAAACGCAAACCCTGCTCTGGGGGAAGAACAACTCCGAAATAGCAGAGCAGAAACAGCAGGGAGCAGCGGCATGTGCACTAACTATAGTTGGGGCGCTCACAGGACAAGAGCATGGCTTCATGCCAGCTAATTTAACCCTGCTGATCCAACGCGTTTTGCAAACAACTACAACAACTTCTTGTCAACTTTGTGCGATAACAAACCTCAAATGTAGCCGAAAAAGTGTCCCAGGACGCAGAGCGGGCGCCCGTCGTGCGTTGCACAAGGTCCCAGAACGCCCTCGTGTCGGCCTCGTCGTCCTCCATCGTGTCCTACAGGAATGCCGCCGCGGCCGCTCGGCGAGAACAGGAGCAGCACAACCCGCCTTGCTTGCTGCTGTGACGAAGTAATCGTGACAACACAGCTGGGGCAACGCTGCACCAAAGAGCAAAAACTATAAAGAACGCCACGGGCAGGAAGTTTGGTTATGGGGCCCGCGGATACCAAGCAGCGGCAAATGTGGTGCGATGGAGGCGGGTATTTACAACCGTTGATCTACGTGAGCGGCAATTGAACAGCCCCACCAAGGCGGCTGGGCCGCCTGCTTTTCTGACGAACCTTTTTCCTGTTGTGCTGGGGGGTCTACCACCAATGTACCCCTGGATAGGTCCGATTTCGGTCCGTTCATCTTGCGTGCCCCCTCGTCTCCCTGCTACCACAAGCACCGCTTGGTCCAACCGTTCAATCAATAGAATGTTGCAAACGTGTTAGATTCACAGACAGTGTCTGTATAAGCACGTCGCATTTAATCAGTGAGCGTGCTAGCTCTGTGTCCGCCAAACAAGCAACACATGGGGGGCTCTGCAGAATGTATTGTTTCCAAACGATAGGAGATCCGCCGTTACCGTTATTTTTCTTTCTTTTGAGCTGTGCGTTTGTTGCCCACACCCACGCACGGCACGCTGGTCTATCTTGCCGACCCAACCACTGCTGTCGATACTGTTCGTCCATCCCTCTGGCACCTTCGTGAAACAAGTTCTGCTCTGCTCTCCCTTTCTCAGAGGCAACATTCCCCGAGCTCGCTGTTCGCAGTCGCAGCAACTAACCAACCGGTTTGTTCCCAGAACAAGGGTCTTCGAGGGGTACAGCAGTAGTTCAGAAAAGCGAGAGGATGTACCAACACCCCGGTGGGGTGGTGCCCAGCGTCTCCTCTGCTGCTACTGGTACTGCTAGAACCATGAAGGACATCGAACGGGAGGACAGCAAGGCGCTCATTCTCCCCCAAGAGGCTTCCCCTCGCCGGAACGCGGAGGTTGTGTACCGTTCCACTAAACACTTCTCCGACGAGGATCGGAAAGGCCAGCAGTATCTGCTACCCTCCACCACGAAGGACGCCCTCGCAAACGGTGCCGCCGGGCAGGAGGCGTCGGTGCCGCCGCCCACGCCCTTGGAGCAGGCTGCGGCGGCAGTGTTTTATGCCGCAGCGAGCCTGTTGGTGATTTTCGTGAATAAGGTGCGGATACGTATGCACACCGCAGTGTATGTGTTGTTCTACCCATCGGGCGTGTCGTCACACATGGGGGACCCGGTTTAGCGACCCCTACTCTCTCGACGAAATGTGGCCATTATTCAGGGCAAGTCGCTACACTGAACTATCAATTATGTAGCAGTTTTACTACCGGGGTGCGGCGGTGCGACGTGGTTTTGTGGTCGCTAAACCGGGCCCCCCACTGCTGCTGTACGTAAGCGTAACGAGTGTAGACTGCATATACTACAGCAGTACTTGCGTATCTCATTCAACGGGGGTACGGGTACATACATCGATATGATTCAGGATGGATCGGCGGCTTTTATGCTGTCACAATGAGCCGCGGAGCGCGAAGCGCGACCGTTCTTTTCCCTCCGTCCCAGGAGAGAAAAAACAGGCTCTAAGTATCGGCCAGAGCTGCGCCCCACGATGCAGGGGCCCAAAAATTGATTTCCGGGAAGCCGATATAACCGAGATAACCAACCCACCTTTTGGAACCAGAACGAAATCTATAGGGCACCTATTGGCGATCTCTTCGCTTCTGAGGAAGAAGATAATTAGCAGGCTCTTCGTCACACTGGTTTGGTCGTGCTCCGATAGCAGATGGCCGTGCTACACAGGCGTTTGTGCCCCAAATTCGTAGGAGATCGCTGTCCTCAACCCTGGGGGTTCTCCGCAAAAAGGGGAACCCAAAAACGGAGATAAGGCGCGCGAGCGCGTGAAACCAGAAGAAGAAACAGACAGAGACGCAACAACACCACCAAAAAACGCATCACCGCTGGGGCGCTGATCCGAGACCAGCTATGAAAACCAAGAGGGGCCGAGCCTATACGACCTGCGCGCCGTGGGTATGGTCATGCGCCATGTATATGTAACCTGGCGGGGGTGTTTTTTATGTTGAGTGGGTCCTAGCTAGACCGACTGCTCAATAAACAGGAGACCGATGATCACGAACACACAACATAAAACACACCTTTCCCCAAGTCCAGATCGCACCTACCTACTTTCGAGATTGCTGTGCGTTGTCAGGATGGTTTCCCGGGATCGGTGTCAGGCTGCGTACTTGCGCCGTGCTACTGACTGTCTTCGCAAAAGCCGTGCCCTGCCTGATGTTGCTGCTTCTGGGTCTCTCGCATCAAAGTCATGACCATCAACGGCTATGGTGCATGTATGTGTTTTGATTGCGTGCTTTCACTTGGCGGGAAATTCGGGAGGCTTGAGACGAATGTGATGGCGGATATGTTGTGAGCCTGGCGCAATATTTGCCACGTGTCTGTCACGCATCTGTCTGTCGCAATCTTATGTCTACGCTGCTGCTCGCGCTGTCACGTATGCGTATGTGTGATACGCTCGCCGCCAGGTATATACCGCATGCGTGCCTCTTCCACATGTGCGTCTTTCGCGTCCTTTGAGCGGGAAGACTTCATATTTTGGTTCTTCGCGGGTGTGTGCACGTGCATCAGGTGCATCAACGGAAAAGAAACTACCGCATGTAAAGTGCAAAAATTTGAACGGGCCACACATACAACCTCGCCGCGCCCGTCGCACCCCTGTCCCTCTGGCGCACGTAGCCGCACCACAAACGATTCACGCTGTGTGTCGGCATTCGTGCACCATCAGCATTGCAGATGTGACTACTGCAAAAAATTTAGTCGCCACCCCGCGGCTCATTCCCCCGCCCTATCTAGTACGGCTTTGAAACAAGCAGCGGCCAATGACCCACAAACATAATACTCTCCTCTCCCTCCCCGTTGAGAGACAGCGTTAACATTCTTTTGGCGACAGCCCGAACGTTTTTCCGCATGCATAGATACAATACCCCCGATGGTGCCGTCGTGAGGCTGTCGATCTTGTTCCACGTGAAAACTTGTATGACAGTGGGACGGCAGACTTTTGCACGATACCCCCCGTTGCCCTTGCCCATCCCAATCTGTGACCCCTGATTTCGGTTCGTGTTCGTGCCGCCGTGCCGCCCCTTCCCCCGTGCCGGGCGACGTTACGCGATATACAGCTGGTCCTGACGAGCAAAGGGTTTCCGAGTTTTTTCTTCATCGCCATCTCCCAATTCACGTCCACATGCCTCGTCGTGAACGTGCTACGCCTTACGGGGCACGTGCAGGTGTGCGCCAAAGCAGTTTGCGGTTGAGTGTACAAGGTAGAAGTAGTAGGTAGGCGGAGAGCTATACGGACCATGCAGTAGTAGCCCATGCAGCGATTTGCGAGCCGCTGGTCGGTCGAGATCGGGATATGCGGAATGGGAGTGGCCTCACGAGAGCAGCGGTAGGGAAGCGAGCTCCATAGACGAAGGGTAGACATTACATCGGCCCCCCTTAGGTACGGCAGTATTCTTAGAATGTTAACTTTTTTATATGCGGAGGTGGCTGTGTGCCGACGTACGTCCAACTCTCGCACACCACCGTCGCCGCGCCGGCGCGGCCCCCTCCTTCCCTCGAATAGTACCTCCGTCGCTGCCCCCCGTCTCTCTCCCTTCTCTCCAACGCAACAGCTTGCTAGATTTGACAGGGCAACTGCGGAAGCCGTTGCGCCGCTCATGGTCATTTTTCTTCTCAACACCGTCTCCGGGCTGGGCGGCACGAAACGAATTAGCCTCCCGGTGAGAGAAAAATGAGAAATGTGCTAGAAAGTTGAGAACAACAACCAACGGTCCCAAGAGGTTGGTTGAGGTTGAGGATCCACGTGAGTTTGAAGGCTTTGAGGTGTGGTAGGAGGTGAGAGAGAGAGAGAGGGAGATAGAGAGAAAGAGAGAGACCGAGAGACCGAGAGACCGAGAGACCGAGAGACCGAGAGACCGAGAGAGCACTCCAACCTTCGAAGCAAACGAGACTAGGCGTCAGCTTCCAACGCAATGACAACGATGGCACATGATGATGTGCTGCTTTGCAGGAAATGGGGGGGGCATGCACCAAAGTGTTACCATCATATCCCACAATCGCTGGCTCTCGTGAACGCCTTCTACCGACAGCAATGCATCCGAAGGCGACTTATTCCATGATAGTAGCTAATACATGGAGACGCATTGAACCCACTTCTTCAGATGCGGAGGAGGGTTGATGTTTGTTTCGGTGCTACAACATGTTTGGCCACATTTGAAGTTCTGCCCGTTGCCTCTACAACCCAAACGAAAACGAAACGGGGGATGGTGCAGGCGAGCCTCCTGCTCCTTGTTTTGGAACGAGCATGGCCGACCGAATTATTTGCTGTTCAGACCATCGTTTAGACATCATGAGTCTGGAGAACCTAAGAAATGGCAGCCTACGCGGGGTGCCATCGGTCCACCGACTGGTTAGGAGAAGACACATGGTTTGTTCATGCTTTGGACCCGGTAAGAGATTGCTTGAGACAGGGGTTGTGCAACATGCCTCTTCAGATGGCATTGGTTGGGGTTGGTGTCTTGCAGTTGAGAACGAACACTTGGAAAGTGTGGCGGTTGAATCAGCAGCGTTTGGTGGAAACATCCCTGCGCACGATAGGGCCACGAGGTGTGCAGTTACATATGGTAATTTTCTTCCCTTTTTTGTTCCTTCCGGAAAACGCGAATACGCGTCAAGTTTTCAGATACAGGTGACCTTGCGGTTTGTCGCAACTAACATATCGCATGTTCCTGTTCCTGTTCCTGTTCCTGTTCTTGCTCCCTGCCCTACCCACCCACCCATCTCCTATCCTCCCCCTTTGGGCACTCAGATGTTCACGGTCCTCAGGCGTTTCAGCATCCTCATGACCATGATCATGGAGAGATACATTTTGAACACGGTGACGTCTAGCACGGTGCAGGTGAGCAGACGGCGCGTTGGCAGTCTACTGTAGGTGCGTGGATAATGACGAGAAAACCCCTTGTGTGAAACGGAAGCAAAGCGCGGTCACGTGCTGTTCGCCAAGGAACACTGAAGTGAACGGGAAAGGAGATCATGTCCCTCCCGACCCCTACTTCGAGAACGAAAAGGGGGGCTCCGTGACTCCTTATTTTGGTCAGCACGTGGCTTCCGCCATCTTCTCGACTGTCGACCCAGGGCGGACTGCACTGAGCTCAATTCAAATTGTGTTTTTATTTTTTCGCGCACACGCCTACAGTAGTATGCGTTTTCTTGCTCGTCCAGGCTCTCACTACCGGTTTGTATACCTTCGCCTGCTCTGCTGCTGCTGCTGCTGCTGCTGCTGACTCCGTCACTGGAAAACATGTCCGCGGGTGGTACCATGCTGCAAATTTTCGGGATACACGCACATGCCACCACCCGTCACGACCGCCAAACAACGTCTCTCGCGGGGCAACGGCAGCTTTCTGTGGCCATGATGATCGGCGGATCCATCGTCGCCGCGTACTTCGACCTCAAGTTCGAGCTTCAGGGGTACTTGCTGATCCTGACGAATGACTTCTTCACAGCCTCGTACAGCATCTCCATCAAGCGGGCGCTGAACCTCAGCATCCCGCAGACTAGGTATGGCTGTGTTTTCACCGCGAGGCGACGGGACCCTCCACCCCCCCCTCCGCCCCACGTCATTTTTGTTCCTTTCCGAAAAAGCGTGTCTGTAATGTTTCTATGGCTGGCTCTACCACCACTGCCTGCGATCGCAATATTTGTAACGCTCTCCCACCGCTCACATGAATGCACCGCATCTTGCTTCGTTCCTTTTGGCTGCCGCTAACGTCGTCGCCACCCCTCCACTCCATCTAGCCTCCTGTACTTCAACAGCCTCTTCGGAGCCATCGTAATGACCCTCGTCGTATTCATCATGCCGGGCGAGACGGAGAGCATCGTGGAGTTCCCGGGGTGGCGGGATCCGGCCTTCATAGGGCTGTACATCTGCACGTCTTTCATGGGTGAGTGGGAGGGGTGGAGGCGGAGAGGGGAGGCTGATTCTGTCGCGCTTGCTGACCGCACACGGCACCGACTTACGGAGCGCACCCAACGCCCCCTGTGGGCGAAATCGTTTTTGCGCTCGGTCGCACAACAGCAGTAGGTGACCTCGCAACATTCTGACGTTTTTGGACGTGGGTGTCGAATCTCGGTGCAGTCGCCTTACAAACTGCTGTGGGATATTTTTTCACGATTTGCTCAAGCAACGTGGAAAGCGATAGCTTTCTTGTGTTGTACGCAAGAATTCGGCCTATAGATCACGGTCGACAAGGGAGAGGAACGGCTGAATCATTCTCGCGATCAAAAATCAAACCAAAGCACAGCAGGAGGAAGGCGGCGGAGAAAATATCAACTCCACTGTGGCCTCCCCCTTTGTCACCCCGGTTGGCGCGTCATACCGCAATGAGTAAGGACCGACATCCAAATATACCGGTAGGTAGGATAATACACATAATCCCTCCACTCCCGAGAGCGGAAGTACTAGTAGTACCATTTTTCGTGTGCAACCGTGAAGCGAGCGAGTGACGCGCTTCTCCGGTTCTGAATCCCACGGGGCTGCTGCAACTGACCGGCTGACCAACGGAGAGGCGCCAGCGTGCCGGCGGGAAACAATTCACGTCCCCAACCAGAAGAGGGCCGGGATCCGAGCAATGGGCGTCGGTCAGAATACGCCAACAAACTCTGTACTAAACCCTTTTTGGAGCGAGAAACAGACCGATGCTTCGCGCAAGCCCAAAGTAGCCGAACGCAAGAAGGCCGGTAATGCAAGAGCCGAGGACAGCAGAAGGGGGCAGTCAAACCACGCCAAGGGTGTACATATGTGTGTTCGTTCTTTGCGTCCATGATATTTTTGCGATTGATACACTCACACCTACTCAGCTCACGAAAGAAGTGGCCGGTGCTCAATCGATCTTGTACAATACCGCGCGTTTGGAAGCATGCTCGCCCTGTGTGTTCATACTTGTTACTTCGTCGTACCTCCTTTCGACTCTCGTCGACAGCATGGCGATGTAGGCGTACGCATGCACACGAAGCAGAGTTGACGTGGATGTCTTGATGGGCGCCAAGCATCATCCCCTGGCAATGACCAAAGAACGCATGTACATTTACCCTTCCACTTGTGTCTCACTCCACGCAGGTTCGGTGTTGCAGTACTCCATATTCTGGTGCACGCGGGTCAACTCGGCGCTCACCACCTCAGTAGTGGGCTGCGCCAAGAACCTCCTGACGACCGTGGTGGGGATGCTCGGCATGGGAGACGACTACGAGTTCGGAGCCCTCAACTGCGCCGGCATGGTCGTCAGCATGGGCGGGTCCTTCCTCTACTCGTGGGCGAAGGTCACGAAGCGATGATTGGGGCCGTAAGCAGCACACCGGGCGGGGGCGGTACGTGGTTCCTCGGGTGCGCAACGGAAGCGAGCACGGCCGTGGTGTGGAGGCGGGCATGTTATGTTTTGGGGCGGGGATGTACCACTTGCGCCCCCCCCCCCCCCCCCCCCCCCCCCCCCCCCCCCCCCCCCCC